GTGATTCATTTTGTAATCAAATAAACTCCTTAAATGTGTGAAACATAATTAAAAGTTTAAACACTATACGTAAAACGCATATCCATCTATTAATTCAGAATCTGTTTTATTTTATATAATTATTTTTATAAATTCCTAGARTTTTTAAATATARTTATGTGTTATTTTTTGACAAGTACAGACAATTAATTTAAAATAATTTTGACGATAAATATTTATTCCAGACGCGTTGAACAGATCTATAAAGTTTAAACCATTGCATACGTTTATCCGATATGATCCTTTTTTATAAAAAAATTGTATATGTCCCTTACAGACAATTTGAATTCCATGACATYCAGTAAGTAGTGAGCAATAATAATATCAATTACCTGTACTGTTGATTGGTTCAATGAGCTATTGGTACATCATGCTTTTCTAAATATYATGATATTTATGAGTGCAATCTTGAACATATAGTATTATCCATATCTAAATCTATGACCAATAATCATATAAAATCATACGACTAAGTCCAATTTCCAGCAAATAACATTTTATTCCTTCAAAAATCAAAAAAGTTGGTGTGTGTTTTTTTTTTATGATATCACATAATAGTAAAACTAATAACTTATCGAATAGTTCAKAGTATAAATTTTAACCAGGTAACTAAATTACACTTCCTATTACATAAATATCGTTGAGTAACAACAAGCATATGTTTTTAATCAGAGTGATTATGACACAGTATTAGACTTAAATTAAACTATATATTAACGGTTAATCAATAATTAATTAAAATTACATTTAAGAATCGATTACTCCAATTACCTGTATCTAATATAGAAATTATATAATTATAAATTTCTATTCAATAATATTAGATAAATATAGATTTTTCTATCGTATAATTTTTATTTAAAACTATGACATATAGATGTATACAGAAAAAATCGATGTAAGTAATTCATTATTATTTTTACATTGAATATTTGAAAAAAGTTTAGTCGTTTGAACCATACAAAATGAATGACATTGATTGCGCCACGACTGCTCCTGCACTGAGGTTGACACCCGTGACTCGCACCTCTCCGGAATAGATATCAAACTTATAAAATACAACTTTTTAGTTATATCATATATAATGTAATATATTGATAGCTCACCGATTGAACTGTTTACAATACAAAAAAAGATCTATACATTACATAATAAAGAGCAATAAAATGAGGGAGAATATGTGCCGATGATGCGGAGCTGCAAAAGGCGATGATGCGGAGCTGCAAACGTCGATGATGCGGAGCTGTAAAAGGCGATGATGTGGAGCTGCAACAGGCGTCGATATGGTGCTGAACTGCAAGCGTTGACGGTGATGGTGAGCTACTACTTGTAGACGGAAGCCAGCAATAATGGTGCTCCCACGACGAGCTGTCAAATGGATTGCCAAGATCACACGTCGAACTCACGCGGAATACAGCCGGTATAGCTTGAGCTGCACGTAGTTGTTAATAAGAAAAACCAACTGAACAAAATAAGAAAGACACCGAACATGTGCTTTTGAGCTGATCATAAAGTCATAGTTTTTAATATCACAGAGGAACATGCACATCATGTATCGGCAACGGTTATGCGAAAAGAGAAAAAGCAGCGTCCCTTCAAAACCAATGGCGACGACGCCACTAGCGGCGGCGCAGACGACGGCAACAGCTCTCTCAGTGTCGCCAACATTCCGAGCTGGAAGTCGTGGCGAGCGATGGGGCGCGAACATACTCCCCCTACAAGGGTGTATCACAAAAGTGGCAAACTAGCCCTGGTCCGGAGCTGGAATTGGAGACTAAGTTGTAGGACTGAAGACACAGCTTATGACATCAGGCACATGGGGGGGGTACATTTTTTTTTTTTTAACAAAATCAACATAGTCATTTCATGCGGAACAGTAACATAGTTAAAACAATGTATATATATATATAGACAAATATAACAATATAACAATATAACTTCCATATACCTAATGGCAAACGGAAAAATAAAACAAACAAACAAAGAAAATAGATGAACAAGTAAAATACAAAACAATGTATGAAATTGTATTACCAAACCATTAAGGCGGAGAACACAGGTGTCAGTCACGGTCAGGAACAATAATGCCGCATCACCTTGACACTGACTTTCATACATTGTTGCTATACAAGGTACTTAAGAGGATCAGGAATCATTAACAGGAAGGGGAACTACCTTATTCACTACAGGTCTAGTGACGAGGCCCTGAGTAGTCATAATYTTAACCACCCTTACCACCCCATCTGGACCTGGAAGGAGTTCATGAACTCGTCCCAGTTTCCAAACAAGTGGAGAAGAAGATGGGTCTTTGAGTATGACCAATTCTCCCAAATTGATGTTTTCCTGGTCAACTACCCAACGGCCCCGCATCTGTAAGGAGTGCAGATACTCATTAGGCCATCTGCGCCAATAAGCCTGGAATAGCTGATGGAGGAGCTTCCAACGCTGTCTAAGGTTAGTCGAACTGACTGGAACCTCAGCCTCAGGCACAGCGGTTGACCAATCAAATGCCCAGGTGTTAAACATTCCAGATCATTAGGATCACTAGACATAGKTGTAAGTGGCCTAGAATTTAAGGCTGACTCCACCCTACACAAAATTGTCACAAACTCCTCTAAGGTCAAAACCTGGTTACCTACTACCCGGACTAACAAGTGCTTGGTCGAGCGGACCGCGGCCTCCCAAAGACCCCTAAAATGAGGAGCACTAGGCGGGTTGAAGTGCCACGAACAAACCGATGATGAACTGATCTGTTCTCGGTTTTTCGGATCATTAACGAGGTTAGACAATTTTCTAGCTACCCCCACAAAGTTTGTCCCACAGTCTGAATACACAGAGGTGGGTAACCCTCTTCGTGAGACAAACCTGTCGAAAGCTGCTAAAAAGGCATCCGTGGTCAAATCAGTAACCACCTCAAGGTGAACTGCCTTGATGGTCATACATACAAATACAGCAATATAGATCTTATATTGCCGTGCTTTGCGTAGACTAGTTTCTGCCATGGTTAAGGGCCCGGCATAGTCGATTCCTACACAGCTAAAAGGTCGACTCTGTTGCACTCTAATGCAGGCAAATCAGACATGATCGGTTGAGGATTTCGAGCAGATAACTTGGTACATGTTATGCACTGCCATGCAGCATGGCGAATAACTTGGCGGTCCCCAATGATCCAGAATTGTCTGCATATCAGAGCTGACATGAGMCGATAACCAGCATGACACGCATACAAATGCCAATGCCTAGCTATGAGCAACGATAAGTATGAATCCTTCGATAATAACATCGGGAACTTGCGTCGATCTGACAGCAGAGAGTGCYGAAGTCGCCCTCCTACACGAATGACACCTTCAGGATCTATGAATGGTGCTAATCGGACCAACAGCCGTGAGGAGGCTACCTGTCCTGATGACAACTCTCGATGCAGCTGCGGAAAAGAGTGCAACTGGCTTGACCGGACAACCATCACGAGAGCTGCGTGATATTGTGTGCTTGAAAAGAATTCTTCAACGGGTAACTTCAGACATCTTTTGATGAAGCGACGCATCCGCATGACTATTCGCAACAGACGGTGAAAGGATGAACACCTGGAAAACCACTCATTAGGCTCCCCCATGAGATCAACAACACAAGACACAACTTCCTTAACTTYCWGGAGCTGTTCCGGAGAAATCAGCGATACTTTAGATGACCAATTCTCACCGAACTGGTGGAGAAAGGAAGGACCTGTCCAATAGAGACTAAAGTGAGCTAATTCACGTGGAAGTAGACCCCGAGAACCACAGTCAGCTGGGTTATATATCTGAGCTAATATGAAACCAACGACATGAAGGGAGCAACTTGTGAATTTGAAAAAGTCGATTCGACACAAMCACCTTGTATGCCACCTGAGGGGTGTTTAACCAAGACAGCACCACAGAAGAATCCGACCAAGCAAGGACATTATGGATCTGGATTTGAGCTGACAAGGTGTTGTAGATACGGTTCATCCAGCGAGCAAGCAAGCCTGCAYCACACAGTTCCAGACGAGGAATTGTGGTGGATGTTGTAGGTGCTAACTTTGTCTTACAACCCAGTAAGTAGACTGTAACTTGGCGGGATGGGTCCGTGACTCGAAGATAGACAATCGCTGCAAAACCCTTGACGGATGCGTCACAGAAGCCACATAAGTCGAACTGACAACCTGACTGTACTCCTACAAACTGAGGGACACGTATCAAGGATAAATGCTGAAGGTCACTGACAAATTTGGCCCAACACCGCTCAATCTATGGAGGTAACTGATCGTCCCAAGATACACCGGTCTTCCACACGCATTGCATCAAATGTTTGGCATAAAATATTACCGGAGCCAGCAAACCAAGAGGATCAAAAATCCGAGCTATGATCGACAACATGCTACGCTTGGATGAAACAAATTTGGCCAAACTGACATCATAGTTGAAGGTGTCTTCCCGAGGATCCCACTTCAACCCCAACACCAGAACCTGCAACGACGCATTATCATTAAAAGGGAGAGGGCCAACTGCCTGATCTTCTGTGGGAACGTTCTTAAAAAATTCAGGTGAGTT